ATTTGAATTTTTTTTATTAATTGTTTATTTTATTATAAGGGTATATATATTAAAATTTGAATTTTCTGATATTAATTGTCTATTTTATTTGTCGTGTCTATAAAATTTTATTTATAATCGTTTTGTATGAAAATTATGTTTCGTGTTTTAGTGTATACTCTCAAAAATATTTTTAGATTCATGGTTAAAAGTAGTAATTTAATCAGGTTCATTCTTTATGAGGGTGAAAGTTGCAGTGACTCAGCTAAAGCTTGAAACAAAAAGAATTATGTTTTTTTTTTGGGTTACAGAAGGAAATGAAAAACAGTACTACCGCATAACGAAACCCCTGGGGGGGAAAAACTCCCCTTGAATCAGCAGACAATGAGGAAGCTACTGCCGCCGGAGGGGAACTGAAAACAACTAAGTCTTCTTCAAGGTCGCAGTCCGTCTTCGAAAGAGCATCTGCACAAAAATTACCTTCCCGAATGGTGTGTTGAAACGACAAATTCCAATTCCGAGCAATTTCAGCTTGCGAGTGCTTGGACATATCGAGGAGTTCCATGATCCAGTTATGCATATCCATGTTGGCAAATCTATCCCACCTCGACCCATCCATACAATGAGCCCCAGCTTTACGAGCTATATGACAATCGCCCAAAATATGACTTAAAATTTCCGAATGGCATCCACAAGCAATGCAGCTAGCCGAGCTTGAAAGTCCCCATGACGCTCGCCTAGCATTTGTGAGCAGCCTATCCCTCCACGCCAACCAAATAAAGAACTTCCATTTAGGATTAACACGAAGGTCCCAAATCCATGAAAAGTTCAGGCCCATGATGTCAGAATTTTCCTCCAAAAGTGCAAGATAAGCCGACCGAGGAGAGAACTAGCCATTGGCTATGATCTTCCAGACATAATCATCTTCCATGTGTGAAAATTTAGGTAGAGGGTAACCAATAATTTGGGACGCAATGTCCAGTGGGAGCATGGAAAATACTTTGTTTGGATCCCACTCTCTATCCGAGGTAATGAAATCACTAACTTCACTATAAACATCGATAAAATCACCATGAATTGCTGGGTTTAACGCTAAAGGATGACCCAGCCAGTTATCATGCCAAAATAACGTCTCTGTCCCATCCCCAATACGCCGCACAAGGCTAGCCGAGAGCCCTTGGAGGCCGAATCTTAGGCTCCGCCATGTATGAGACCATGAAGAAGAACACGAAGAGGAGTTACTTGCAAAGTTAATGGGATAGCCGTGTACACCATAGATCGCTTTGAAAGCTTTCACCTAAAGGCAATCGGGTTGTTTAAGAAAACGCCATGCCGTCTTTTGTAGAAGGACATCATTATGATTACGCATGGTGCGAAGGCCTAACCCGCCAAATCGCTTCGGTCTACAAACTTCATCCCAGGCGACCAAATGGGGAACACGTTTTTCCTCACTCCCACAGCACAAGAAGCTTCGATTCAATCTATCAATCTCGTTCACAATGCTTATAGGGAGCTTTGATGTCATCATGGTATAAGTCGGTACTACAGACGTGACAGTACTAACAAGAACAGCTCTACCCATAGCAGAGAGAGTTTTTGCTTTCCAGGCGCTCAACCGAATTTTCACTTTATCCACAAGTTCTCTATACGTTAACTTCGAAACACGGCCATGAATAAGAGGCACTCCGAAGTATTTACCTAACTCCGATGAGGAACTCATGTTCAGAATCTGCCAAAATTGTTGGCTCATCCTTCAATTGGTAGCCGAAGAAACAAAAAGTTAACTTTTCATAGCTAACTTTAGCACCAGAAGTAGAACAGAAGATTAAGAACCTCCTTAATAACGGTTGCCTGTTTCTCAATAGCCCTTCCAAATAAGAAAAGGTCATCGGCAAAGAACAAATGCGAGATCTGGGGGTCGTCTCTTCCCGGCTTTATAGATTTCAACATACCGTTATCAACTGCTTTCTATGTCAAATGACCGAGTCTCTCCATGCAAAGAACAAATAAATAAGCGTAGATGGAATCGCCTTGGCGTAACCCCCGGGAAGAACTAAAGTACTCAGTTTTTTCGCCATTCCAAAGCACCGACAACTTAGAACTGTTAACACATGAGAGCAGAAGATCAATCCAAATTTGTGGGAATCCAAAATGGCAAAGAGTGTCTTCCAAAAAGTCCCAACGAACTCTATGGTAAGCTTTCTCCAGATCAATTTTTATGGCGACGAATCTGTTTTTTCGTTTACAAATTTTATTGTGAATAACTTCCAGAGCCAAGAGGATGTTATCAGTCGCTTGGCGCCCGGGAATAAAGCTCGTCTGGAGGGGGTTCACCAACTTATCCAGAAGGGGACGTAATCTATTCACAAGAACTTTTATTAATAATTTTATAAGCAACAATACATAAACTAATAGGGAGGAACTGTTTTACCGATTCCGAGGCTTGAACCTTAGGAATGAGAGCAATCAAAGTGTTATTGAGTTCACTCGGAAAAGAACCAGTCGTCAGGGTCGTATGAACAATCGAAGTGAGGGACTGGCGGAAGGTGTCCCACATTTCCTGATAAACACCAGCATGAAACCCATCATCGCCTGAGGCTTTCCACGGTTTCATTCATGAAGAGAGCAGTCCAAGCCTCACTCTCCGTAACAGGTCTCGTCATGGAAGGAAGATCATCAACCGATAAACAATGACAATCTAAGTTTTCTAGATTATTGTTAGTTCGGCCACGTACTTCTTACATTCTTTTCTTTCCTTTAAGTTATATTTATTATTATTTGGTTGTTTAATTTAAATTTTATTATATATTTTAATGATTAATTTGTGTATTATCAAGATTTTCGGAAAATAACATGTTGATATAGTTGACCTACTCTAACTTTTTTAGTTTTATCATATTTTCTTCCTATTCAATAAAACTAGAACTTATTATTAGTTAAAAAACATATTCTAATACTGCTGAGGATTGACAAACTGAAAATGAAAGGGACAAATGAGAAAATAAAATTTGTAAACAACATGGGTTACAAAAATAAACATAAAATTCTGACATGCCGGATTCAAACCAGTGACCTAAGGATGGCTATGAATGTTACACACTACAGTCCTACCAACTGAGCTAAGATCGGTCTTATAATCTCTCGGACCTTTAAAGAATTTATTATAATAATAATTTTATAACATGAGATTAACTTTTAAGAGTATATTGTTTGATATTTTTGCCATCCATAATAGCTTTTCCCTCTTTGAAATTATTCCAAATTCATCAATACCCTTTTTTCTTTAGAAATTTAAGGATTTCCAATGAAACTCGTCTAACAACTTTCGATAAACATGCATGTGATAAATTATTTTTTTTTAAATACCCCACACTTTAACATTATCGATGACAGATTATGAATTTAAGGCCACTTGGAAACTTTAAGAGCTCTAGGTTATCTAAAAATCCCAATTTAGAATGGTTACGTGTTTACCTTAAAATATGAATTTTTTAGTTAGTTATATATTTTATTAATTATGTTTATCTTAAGATTTTATTTGTATTTATCTCCTAGATGATATGGGTAGAGGAAAATAAATTATTTTGTTGAGAGAATTGATTTTTTGTGTTAAATAGGTGATGTTGAAGATAAAGTCTAGAAAAAAATTAGAATAAAGGAGGAGGAGGAAGAGTAAGAAAATTTGGTAAAAATATAGTAAGTTGGATTTAGTATTTTAATTTTTATTTAAGTAACATTATATTTCTAGTTTTTTTTTTAATTTTTAGATTGTATATTGTTGATATAATTATTTTACACACACAATATCAGTATATTTGAAGCAAAAAATAACAAGGAAATAAGATTTGAAGCTTTGGTAGACTTCTTTGGTTCAAACAAGGAAGTTGACTTAGTTTTTAATTAAAATGTTTTTATTATATGTATCATCCGTCCATTAGTATTTTAAGTTGTTTAGAACATCGAATTTAAATTGTATGCATTATTTTTGTTGAAAATTTTAGTGGTTTTCAAATAGCAAGTTTTGAATTTATTATTATTATTGGTTGAAATTAGTAGTATGTTAATAGTATTTGTTTTGATTTCTGTATTTTGATTCAAAATATATATGTTTCTAAACATGCAGAAAAAATGAGCGATAAGCTTCTAACGATTTTCCATTACAATGGACAAATTTTAAAAACTGATGTCAAAATTGTATTTGAATATGAAAGTCCTATGAACATGATATCTAAAAGAGACATCACACTTCAACAATTAAATGAGATAATACAAATGAAAATTGCGTACTGATGTAATCTATAGCCAAAATTTGTTTTAAATCTTCTTTTAAGATTAGAATAGAAAATTACACTACATCATTTATATATAACAAATTATATTAGCATGCAATTTTCCTACCTACATATAATTTACTTAAAAATTAAAATATTAAATCCACTTACAATTTCTTAATAAATTTCACCAAATTTACTTCAAATCTTCTTTACTCCTTTTTTTTTTTGCTCCAAATCTTCTCAAGTTATATGCATAATATTAAAACTATATCAACGTTCATCAATGCTAAATAAAATTAAGGGTAAAGTATAGTAATGGTCACTGAACTTTTCTAAATATTTCATTTCGGTCCCCCAACTTTTAAAACTTGCAATACAATCTTCCAACATTTAGTCCGTTTGCAATATGGTCCCCCAACAGTTACGTCAGGGACCATATTGTAAACGGAATAAATGTTGGGGGATTATATTGTAAGTTTTAAAAGTTATGGGACCTAAATGAAAGATTTAGAAAAGTCAGTGACCATTACTATAATTTGCCCTTTTTTATCATTTCCCATGCTTAAATGAACAAGTAATTTGCATACTGTACGTAAACTCAGAAAAAATAAATAACATTCCTACAAGATTTCGATTTCGTCAAGGAATTACCATTACATGTTATAAAGATTACAACATAAAAACATGATGATTTTAATCTCCCATCTAAGTAACGAAAAGCTTGAAACCCTAAACGTATTGATGTGCTCAAGCATTTTGAACCCTAGCTGGTAAGGCACCCATGAAATCTGGGTACTGAAAGATATCATATAACAAGAAGTCTTGACCTACCTGCAGGTATTTCGTTGGTACTTCATTAGCATAGGGAACCGATTCAGAGCCAGTGACTCCACCGAAACTCTCCACCTATTGAGGGAATCCTTGATTGTAATCGGCATTATAAAAACCTAAATGTTCATTCTTCAACTCGGTTACAGGAACTGCTATTGAATGTTGAGTGCAGTTCGTGGTAACTTTACGTTCACCTGATTTCTTCGGTAAGAACCCTTGAATTATTTCCTGCAACAAGCCGGAATCTGAAGGCTTCTGCGGGAAGAATTCCATATCATCGACGGTTTCCTTGAGAGTGTGCGTCATGGTTGTGCCAGTGAAAGAATCGGTTGCGCTTCGAGTAATGTTGTTGGTAAAGGATTTCAACAAAGATGCACAGGGCAAAATGCTTGAATTAGCTGGAAAAGTGAGAGAAAACGAAGAAGAGGAAGCATTTCCGTGGATTAATGGAATATAGTCCGCCAGAGACTGAGGAGGCGGCGCTTGGAGAGATGAATTAGATGAATTCAAGAGGTTGCGGAATAAAACCATGTTCGGAGAATCGTTTCTTTGAGCAGAAGACCCAACGGAGAAGTCACCGGAATGTTGGTTTGCCAGCGATGACCAGTTAGAAGATTGGCCAAACTGATGACGGATGCAGTTAATGTCCCTGCTGGATGACTGTGACTGCTTCGAGAAGGTAAAAGGTGGAAGGAAATGATCGCTCGCCGAGTGAGGCTCCGTCGCCGGGTAGACGAAATTGGTTCGAGCCTTGATCCCACGCATAGCTCGAGCTGCACAGTCGTAGGCGCATGCAGCCTCCTCGGCGGTGTCAAAAGTCCCGAGCCAACGCCGTTCCTTGGACTGGGGTCTCGTATCTCAGCAGATAACGCCCCCACGGCCTGCGGCGAACACCACGGTACCTCATTGTTCCACCGGAGCCACCATTTCCTTTGAGAGACCTCTTGTTCGCCGCTGTGGCGGCGGTGGGAACAGCGGTATCTGGAATTCGGAGACCTCTTCCATTAGCTAAAACTAGGAGAGAAGTACACAAGGAATCAAAGACAACAAAGAAGACTGGAGATTGGCACCTGGAATTCGGATCGTGGTGGACGGCACTTTGCACCACCATATATGCTTGTAGTTATAGTCAAATAAACACTCGAAGAAAATCTACAGAAAGTGACCCCTTTTATTCATGTTTTACACAAACAAAATTAAAAAAAAGGTAGTGTTTGAATTTTAAATTAAGAATTTATATCTTTATGTAAATTATATATTAGGATAAAGTACAGTAATGGTCACTGAACTTTCTAAAGCTTTCATTTAGGTCTCTCAACTTTTAAAACTTGCAATATAATCCCCCAACATTTAGTCCATTTGCAATATGATCCCTCAACATTTAGTCTATTTACAATATAGTCCCTGACATAACTGTTGGGGGACCATATTGCAAACGGACTAAATGATATTGCAAGTTTCAAAAGTTGAGGGACCTAAATGAAAGTTTTAGAAAAGTTTAGTGACCATTACTATACTTTACCCTAAAATTAAATATAATATATAATTTAAAAATTAAAAATAAAACAAACGATAAAAAATTACTTAATTTAAAAAATAAAATATACATTTACTTATTATAATATTACTTAATTTAAAAAATAAAATATACATCTACTTATTATATTTTCTCATTCTTCTTCTTCCTTATTGTTCTGCTTCTTCCGGCTGAATTCACGAGATAATCTTCTCGAACTTTTTTATTCACGATATAATGCACATCCCAGATTAATTGTTGAAATGGGGTGAATTCTACAGTGATCTCGTAGGACGCCATGCAATCCAGGCGATCTTGTAGGACGCCATGCAATCCAGGCGACATACGGGGTGACATACGAGCCATACGGGGTGACATACGAGCCATACAAGGCATATACGAGCCATGCGAGCCAATGGAGGGGTGACATACGAGCCATACAAGGCATATACGAGCCATGCGAGCCAATGGAGAGATCGAGAGGTCGCCATGCAGTCTGGGCGACCTTGTAGGTCGCCATGGCATACTAGTAATGATTTGATACTAAAAATCATTGTTAAGGTTAAAAAAACTAGTCTAATTTCAATAAATAATTTGTAATAAATAGCAAACGAGTTTACAATTGTTGTCGATGCCGGGGTGTTGTTGAATGATAATGTCGGGGCGGGCGTCTGATACGTTGTGGCCGTTGTGGCTCAGGAGTATTGTACCCATCCCCCTCATTCATTGGGGGTATTTGAACTGTCATGTGTTCAAAGTCATACGTCGACGAAAACGTAGGAGAATAGATGGGTGCCTCAGGCTGCACAAACTCTGGTATGTATGCCGGGACAGTAGAATCATCAACTGCGTGATGCAACGATTGTGGTGCGCTATTATCCACATCGGTCATTTCCGCTTCAGGTTGTAGAGATGAACTCCCACTCCCACTCGGTAGAGAGTATTCAGCTTTACCAAATCTTTTCTTAAACCTCAAAAATTGTCGCCTCTCTACTATTGTTGTGAGGAACGGCTTTCCATTATCCAAAAAATAAGCAAGGTAAGCCGAAGTCTCAAAATTAAAGTCGTCGTCTTGAATGGCGTCAAGAGTTGGCATGAATGAAGCCCTATTGTTCCAAGCATTAATGTAGGTTGCATGCTTCTCAACCCAATTAACGCTTTCTTTACGACGACCATCAAATTTGTGCAGGTCGTCATGCGTCTCAACCCAATTCACTGGACGACGACCATCTAAGTTTTGGAGGAGGTCATGATCCCATGGACTTCGCGGAATAGGTTGGTGGAAGTGGAATTGCCTCAGCACTCTATCCCCAAATTGGATCTCAACAAAAGCAAAATTGATCAATGGTGTAACAGCACACCAATATTGAAACCCATCTAAAATATCGTGCGGTATCAACGCAAATAATTCTTCATTCATGTATGGTCTCCAATTAAACTGTAAAATTACAAAACAATAAAATTGATTTAAATCAAATAATATAGTTAATTTAAATAATAATTAAAAAATACAGATTATGCATACCTCCTTTTTGGCCTTAATGTCGATCTTCAACCTGAACTCTTTAATGTTGTTGTGCACCAACCCTGTGCCTTCAATTTTATGCCTCCATCTGTATATCAATCAAAACAAAAATAGAGACATTTTGTTCAATAATTTTAATCAAAATAAATATTTTTTAATTAATATTTTATATTAAAATAGAGGATTCATATTACCTTCCGGCAAGTGGAAAGTCAACCGCAGTCCGACTAATCGGTGTCAAAAACGGAAGTCTATGTCAAGCCCATGATTGTAGCAGCAACATACATCCACCGATTTCTACTGTATTATTATCATTCACGACTAATGACGCCTTGCACATCTCACGATACAAGAATGCCAATATCGCCGAACCCCAGCTATATTGCCTACAATTCTCAAAATTTGTTAAAAAAAGAAGATACTGAGTGTGAACATAACTACCGGATTTATCAGGCATCAAAATTCCCCCAATCAATTGTAATATATATGCTCGTGTTGCATATATAATTTCGTGCTCCGTACTATTTGATTGAAGTTGAAATTCATTCTTCAACCATGACAACCTCACCCGCCACCCTTTACACTCTGGTGGTACGGGAGCTTTCCCAAGAAACAAGTTGCAAAGTTGTTCCACCTTATTAAACTCATGTGACATTACCACCGGCATCCCATTAGTTTGGACCCCGAGTTGCATTGCCACATCCTCCAAAGTTATAGTGCATTCGCCACACGGCAAATGAAACGTGTGCGTTTCTGGTCTCCAACGTTCAATCAACGCACTGATCAAACCTTGGACCAACTTGTAATCTCGCACAAATGTTATATACCAAAATCCAGCCTCTTGCAAATTTTCTTCTATCAGTGGGTGTGGCTTGGGCACTTTATGTAGTCGAAGACGAATGACTCGCTGCTCGTCCTCCTACAATTAAATATTTCAAAAAAATTATCACAATCATAAAATAATATTCAAATATTTATTAATTATAATTCATTAAACAAATATTTTATTCACCATTATTCCCAAATGACTTGAAATATGTTCATTGTCAAGCCTCAACCGTGGAATTTGGTCAGCCATTGGAATGAATCTGTAAAAAAAATTAAACAACAATATTTAAAAAATCATTTAATATAATCTAATATAAACTAACTAACTAATTTACAACACTAAACTTTAATATAATAACTTATAATATAATAAACTAATAAACTAACAAACTAAACTTTTTAAAATATAAGTTAAACGTAAACACTAAACCCTTAAACAACTAATAAAATATTTTTTTATATAACTAAAACTAACTAATAAACTATTTTTTCATTATAACATACTACTAATAAACTTACTAACTAATTTTTTATATAATATATATTCAACAAACAAATATAACTTAACTATTTAACTAACACAAACTAATTAAATAATTTTTTTATATAACTAACTATTAACAAAACAAACTAATTAATTATTTTTTAACTATATAACTATCAAACATATACTAATTAAATAATTTTTAATTTATGTATACTATAACTTAAACTAACAATCATATAACCCTAAACTAATAAACTAATTAACATTTATAATAATAAACTAATTTAAATATAAAAAAAATTTACCTTATCTCCCTTTCTTCTTCTTACTTTCCTTTCTCCCTTTCTTTCTTTCTCGGCTGCAATCTCTTCTCCCTTTCTTTCTTTCTTTTATGTGAGATCTTTCTTTTATGTTCTTGCGATTTGCACACCCCATATATAACCGGCTGCCTCAATTATTTCACCAACAGCAATGGTTCAATTATTGTACCAATCACGGCTCAAATGGTTCACATGCATGCATCAATAGCTGTAGGCATGCAGCGGGGAGCAGGAGGGGAGCACGTGAAGGAATCTTGGCTGCATGTGCATGCATGGTCTCGTGAGCTAGGACTACATGGCGACCTAAGGTCGCCGGGACTACATGGCGACCTACAAGGTCGCCGGGACTACATAGCGACCTACAACTACAAGGTCGCCCAGACTGCATGGCGACCTCTCGATCTCTCCATTGGCTCGCATGGCTCGTATATGCCTTGTATGGCTCGTATGTCACCCCTCCATTGGCTCGCATGGTTCGTATATGCCTTGTATGGCTCGTATGTCACCAGTATGGCTCGTATGTCACCCCGTATGTCACCTGGATTGCATGGCGTCCTACAAGATCGCCTGGATTGCATGGCGTCCTACGAGATCACTGTAGAATTCACCTCATTTCAACAATTAATCTGGGATGTGCATTATATCGTGAATAAAAAAGTTCGAGAAGATTATCTCGTGAATTCAGCAGCTTCTTCCTCCACCTTTTTCTTCTTCTTCTTCTACAAACTTTTTTCTATAACTCTCTCTTATAATTTTAACTTCAATCTCTCCTATTTAACACAAAATTTTTGGATTTCAACCACATATTTATCCACCAATCCACAACATTCAATCCACAATTTTTAAAATTTTCAATGATTCATGCATGGCTCCTGCACCCATTGTTGTTGTTGCCTACACCTGCTGCACCACTGTTGCTGCTGCTTGCACCCGTTTGGCCCTTACCTATCTCTGTGTATATCTGCACCTGTCTCGCCCCTACTCCCATACTGGTATTGATAAACAGCCCAAGAAGCATACACAATGACCCAAGCAATGTCAACAATGTGAACCCTGAGTCCCTGACCTCCTTGCAGTTTTTATCCGGAT